CCAACACTTCCCCTTCTGTACGCTGGCACTCTCTCTTTCTCCCTCTCTCTCTCGACTACATATAATTGGATTTGTGAACGGGAGCAGCCGAATGCTTCCTTTAGAATGGCCGGGGACACAAGGTGAAGTTTTCTCATTACAGACCACGAAGCCAGGGGACAGATCATAGACGATCTGTATTTTCCATTTAAAGAGGACAGAAATGGGAGAGAAGGAAGAATAAAAGAGAGGAGGGTTTGATAGACAGTGCAGAGAGAGGGAGGTGAAGAGGACAAGGAAGTCTCTTTATTTCACAGGTCACTTTATAAAGGACAGAGAGAGGGTTGATGAGCCCGAGACGTGGCAGTGTTTTCATTTTCTTGAACATGTCTCAAACATTGCGTTCATATTTGATTGCTTTTGTAAGCGCGCTGAATATTTGGGTTTGGTTATTTCATTTGTCTACCAAACACACCTATGATTTTCTATATTACAATAGAATTTATGTATATATTGTAGGGCTGCACGATTATGACAAAAATCACAATTGTCGATTATTCCTTTGAAATTGTAATTGCGATTATTAATTACGATTAAATGAATGATGTTTACACCTTTGTTTGAAGCAACTGCATGCCATATTTTTATATGAAATTAAACAAGCTGAAAACACTCTAACTGAAAAACCTTTAGTGCTTTTCTATAGTATTAAGTCTTAAATGTCAACTATACATCGGATTGGTTTCTTCTTTAAATAGAGAGGGTTGATGAGCCCGAGACGTGGCAGTGTTTTCATTTTCTTGAACATGTCTCAAACATTGCGTTCATATTTGATTGCTTTTGTAAGCGCGCTGAATATTTGGGTTTGGTTATTTCATTTGTCTACCAAACACACCTATGATTTTCTATATTACAATAGAATTTATGTATATATTGTAGGGCTGCACGATTATGACAAAAATCACAATTGTCGATTATTCCTTTGAAATTGTAATTGCGATTATTAATTACGATTAAATGAATGATGTTTACACCTTTGTTTGAAGCAACTGCATGCCATATTTTTATATGAAAATAAACAAGCTGAAAACACTAACTGAAAAACTTTTATTGCTTTTCTGTAGTATTAAGCCTCAAATGTCAAATACACATCGGGTTGGTTTCTTCTTTAAATAAAAAGGTAAAAATATGCATGGTATTATAATGTTAGACTAAAACTAAAATTAAAACAATGGAAAAACCCTTAAGATAACATGTAGAAAGAAAAAAAGCATCTTAAGCATGCAGAATAACATAAGTGGACTTTGACGATTAATTGCTGCTTTGAACGATTATGTAATTGTGGCATCCGTAATTGTAATCACGATTAGAGATTCGATTAGTTGTGCAGCCCTAATATATTGTATTATATATACTGTATTGTATTTTTTATTTAAAATTATTTATATAAAAATAAAGCAATTAAATAAATATAAAGAACATAAATAGAATAAAGAATTATACATAAATTTAAGAGAAGCTAATAATTATTTTTAATGACCGATAGATAAATGGCTGATATAAAAAATCTATACTGTATTGTCTAAATAAATTTAAAATAAAACACTTAAAATTAAAACAATTGAAAGAATTGTTTTCCGATCATATTCCATTCTTTTCCCTCAAAATGAAGAAGAATCATTTATGGAATCAGAACCAGAATTGATAAATTACTAATGATTTCCATCCGTACACACGTTTGTGTGTGTGTCTTTTGGGTGGGCTAAAGATCCAAACCCTCTCTTCTTCTGCACTGCTTGCTTGTACTGTGTGTGTGTGTGTGTGTGTGTGTGTGTGCGTGCGCGCACGTGGCCCTCCCCTTCTCTGCACATTCAGTGTGTCATGACAAATATATCTGTTTGTGCTTCACTGGCTGGCACCGTCTCTGGCTGGCTGGCACGGCTGTGTTAGCGCCAGGGCCCTGAGCCTGTGTGTGTGCCCAGCCGAGCGACTCCTTCCATGGCTCGCTGTATCCTCGCAGCCCCCACCCACCCTCCAGCCCCCTCCAAAAGAGCAGCCAGACTGGGGCAGCCACCCGGACCCCATGCCCACTGTGAGTGCTTCTGTCTGGGGCTCAGCTCTGCCGCCCACCCCCTCTCTCCCTGGATCTCCTGTCCAGAATGAGGGCGACAGCCCTCCATTATCTGCTTTTGCGCCTCTCTCCCTCCCTTTTTACTTCCCAAAAGATGGAGTGAAGTCTTCCCACACACCATGCTTTCTTCTCCACCTTTAACTATGACTTTGTCATAGTTTCTGCCACCCCTGATGTTTTTCTTTCTTTTTCTTCACTCGTTCTTGTGGATCCCCTCATTATCTTAGGAAATCTGCAGCTGGGAGGTTGGATGGGCCACTGATCTCTCTCCCCTCTCCTCCTCTTCCTTTTTCTCCCTCTTTCTCTCACTCCAAGCACAGCCCAGTTGGAGAGTCCAGACTGAACGGTCAAGCTTCAGTGTAGCTGAAGAAGAGCCACTTGAAGTCCATTTGAAGAGAGAGTCATTAAAGAAATCTCTTCATAAAAGGACAGACAGTTTCACACCTCATTGCTGCTGTGGAAATGGATCGTTCCACAGTGGTTATTCTGCACAGTGTGCAAAGCCGATTCATTTGGAGAGTCCAGTTGTATCTCTCAGTGATTGTTTTCATCCAAGCATTTTGACTTCACACTTTCATAACTGTCCCTTTCAGTGTCTCAGATTTTCAGTGCTTTATTGGCATGATTTTTTAAAAACATTAATACAAATCACAAAAAAATTATTCAACAATAGTTAATTTTGTAATGTTATATTGTAATAATCAGTTAGATTGCTTTTTACTTCTTTAACAGTAATTAAAGATTTTTCAAAAATTAATATAGTTTTTTTTTTTTTTCATTTTAGTCTAGTTTAATGTTATTTATACATTTAAATTGTAAAAAAAATATAGGAGTTCATGTATAAATTAACAATAATTTAGTTTAGTAAGTCTTAAAAGTATTGCTTATTGTTATTTTATGTTATTGTTTTAATTAATATACATCCAAAACCTTATTGTAAAGTTTTCCAAAAAAAAAAACAACAACTCTATTTTTCAGTCCAGTGCAATTGAATCACTTTTTGTTTGTGAAATATGATGAAAGTACAGGCCTGAAGTTGAATGAAAATGTAATACAATGTGAAAAGTTTATTTATTTATTTTTTGGAAAGTTAAGGAAAAACTTACAGAGCTGCATTCAAATGTCTGTCCTTTTTTCACCATCAGTGTTATCATCCATTTAGTGTGAATCAGCATTTATTCCAGGTATACCATGCATTTCCAACTTCATAAAGCGTCTTGTCTGCCCCTTTACAGATTTGCCCAATTCAAGCTTCTGTTAAATGTTCCAGCACAGTCTGTGTGGATTGACGCATCTTTCCTTTCCTCTGTCTGCTGCTGTTCTTCATCTCTTGTTAATTTTCCTCGACTACAGTATTACAGAACATTTCCAGAGTTGCCTAAAAGCAGTTTACACTGGGGGCCTGGTGCTAATCCTGCCCTTTGGGTGCACACACACAAAGAATCTCATTTTCTGTGCTAATGGCTAGCCTAGCCCTGAATTGCTGTATGTAAAACAGTGTGTCGAAGGTTGTGTGTGGTGATACCTGCAAGGTTGAGCAGATCATTTGGCGTTTTAGACTTCAGCTGCAGAAAGAATGACAATTATATTACGTTAAATTGTACAAGGAGCACAGGGCAAAAGCCTCACAGCTGAAACGAAACATGCATTATTGTACAGTAGAGGTAGATGTAGACACGCTCACAGAAACATGTGGTTCTGTTTGTTTTTGTTGATTGCTTAATTTATTCGCTTTCATATCATTGGCTATTCCAAGTCATCCTCCAATTAGAGCAGATGTATTCATTTTGCGAGAACATAGCAGACACACACTCATACTAAACGTGCCCAATTCAGCGTTGGCAGGGGAGCTCCTGTGTTTTCAGGTGTAACCTGGCCTTAGCTTTGTCTTGCATGTTCAAATTACCCTGAGACTCAAAGGCCTCCGGGCTGGACCCCTGAAAATTGCTCCTGGGATTCCCTCATCTGCATCTCTCTGCTTATTGTCCTTCTGAACAATGGCTTCAGACAAACAGTGTCCACAGAAACAGGTGAAATGGGGTTAATTAACTTAACACTTTTGTAACCAGGTGGGCTAATTCACTCTCTGCTCTTCTGCTCCAGAAACCTGTAACCACCTTGAAAATATGTGCATGGGTGTGTGTTCATGTGGCTGTCTGTGGAGCCAGGCTACCCATCATGCTAAGCAGACCCGTCTTAATTCTAATGTGTGGTAGTGGTACTACAACTTTGTGAATATTACATAAAATTGTTAGGTTATAATAACCATCCAGTATTATGCATTTTCTCAAAAGCATTGTTACCCAACTGTGGTCACTAATTCTGTCATTACCAACATAGTTCAATGAATCAGTGTTTCTCAAAATAATAGTTACTAACTACAGGTCTAATTTCAATAATGTGTTATTAATTAGCAGTATTTTTTATTAAAAATGTTTTACATGTCAGGCGCTTGGTCTAGTGATTAGATGTTGCAATTAAATGTAATTCAAGTTTGGATCAAGTGACATTTCCCAGTCACTGTTTCCTCATCTGTCTATTCATGTTTAAGTAGTTGATGCATACATTTCTGTCTCTACCTCTTGTTGATGCACACAAAACACTCTTAAACATATAGTCAGGCCAAAAAAAATGACACACCAGCAAATATCTCAGGTTTATTATGTCTGGACCTATACAGAATCAATGACAAATAAACCATGCAGTGAATCTCTCTCGCTCTCTCCCTCTGTGCCAGAGACCCTCCATCCTTACTGTTAAAAAAGCTGCTATCAGTCTGATCTGATGGGAGAGAGAAGAGTGAAAATGGCATTTCTGTCAATTACTTGAGATGGCACCCGTTCAATAACCCCCCTCTCCCTCTGCTTCTGTGTGTGTGTGTGTGTGTCAGGAGCGTGATGAAGAACGGCGCAGGCAGCTGCGAGAGAGAGCCAGGCAGCTGATAGCAGAGGCTCGATCTGGAGTAAAGATGGCTGAACTGTCTCTCTATACTAACTCCACCTCCATAGCCTGTAGTGCAGCTGGGAACAACTTAAAAGGAAGGTCAAAGACAGCTGGAGGTGAGTGCAGGGGGGCTTTTATAGGCCGAACACGCACATACACTCACAATGCATAAACGCATGCATGCACATTTTCTCATAAGCATGCGAACGCACACGCAAATCTACATGCGTTCACTTTGAAATACCACAGACATAAGCTCTGTTCCAAAACATACTGAGATGCCTATGTAGACATGCTCTCAAGGGTGCATACTTTGCTTTGGCGGAAGTCTAAAAGCAGCTTCACGTCCTTCATAAATAAGGTAATTCCATAATACATTACATCATGCTTGTTGGGAGATGGTATGAAGCAAGAGAATGTTGATTATAATTCATTCAGAGCCTAAAAGCATGGGCTGTTTCACCCAATGTGCACAATTTTCCCAATGTTTGTGTGTGCTATGTACATTTTGAGGCTTAAAAGCATAGTTCATCCAAAAATTAAAATTCATCATTTCATGTCGTTCCAAACCTGTGACACTTTCTTTCGCAAAGCACAAAAGAAGATATTTTGAAAAATGTTTCAGCTGTTGTCCATACACTGAGACTTTCTTCAAAATATCTTCCTTTGTGTTCCACAGAAAAAATAAAGTCATACAAGTTTGGAACAACATGAGGATATTATTTTAGTATTATTTACATACAGAATCAGCTACCAGCATTTTCAGTATTACATTTTCAGTTTTTTGACTTTTAGTTTGTTTTTATTAGTTGTCTTATTAGTTTACATTTGTATTATTTATATATATATATATATATATATATATATATATTAGCTTTGTTTTATTTTTGTTTTAGTAATTTTAATGCTTCAACTTAACTTATTTCACTTAAAGTTTTTAGTTTTCTTAATCCAATATTTATATCTATCTAATTGTATTTCAGCTTTATTTCAATTAAATAAAATGATTTTTAATAGTTTTAGCTTACAGTAACACTAAACATAATTTAAATTGTGTTGGTGATCTAACCCTTAAGTAGAGTATTGCATTGTTAACTTAGCATGCTAATGCCAAACACTGATTTAGATGCTGAATCTGCACATATTTTCTGTCATTGCTATTTCAGGCTCCCCAATAACATTGTGAAAATGTTCAGAACATTAAGGCCAAGTACTAGTGTTTGGCTTCTGAGATTTTTAATTTGTTCATGAGCTTCAGTGTGTGTGTGTGTGTGTGTGTGTGTGTCCATTAAGAGCAGGCTGTACGTGCGTGTGTGTGTGTGTGTGTGTCCATTAGTGGCTTTCAGCCCTTAAAAAGCGATTTTGTTGCTCACTTCATAATGGCAACCAAACACGTCTGCTTTCAAGGCCCAAAGGAGCATTACATTAAGAAACACACCAACACACCCACATACTCTGAACTCTAATTTGAGGTGTTCACAGAGGGCTTCACTTCCATTTGTTCAGGCAGTCGCTTCCCACATAATCCTTCGGAAATACATCAGGAAAACTCTTGCGACAGCCAGCGTTGCCCTATGTCCCAACACGCACACATACACACCAGTCCACACAGCCCAAATCATAATCACTGTCATTATAACACGCACCCATGCCGGGTAATCAGCGTCTCATTGTCCATGGAGGACTCCTATAGACCGCATCTCCTTCAGCTCGGCTTTCCCGCCGCGTCCCGTGTTATCATCAGCCACCATTTCTCCTTTTTATTTCACATTACAGGACAATGAGACGACACGTTACTGTAGCCCTAACCGCTGGGTGGCCCGTGCGGAAACAGTGGGGCATTAGCATAGCGGACAGCTGTGGCGTGTTATTAAAGGTGTTTACGCCAAGGGGTGTTAGCGTTGTGGCTAGCCGCTGCGTATAATTAAAAGTGCGCATGCACGCCGAGCGAGAGGGGTGTTAGCGGCGCGTCAAGGTTTTGTTTAATACGTGAGGTGTTAACATAGCGGGCTAGCCGCTGTGCCTAATTCTGTGCCGGCTCATGTCCATGTGTACCATTTCACAGCTCAAGGGGAGACCCAATATTCCTCTCCTTTTATCTCTTTCATCTCGCACTCTTTGACGCCCTCCATTTTCTCTTCATCCTCTCCCTGTCCACCAAATAGTGTTCCCTCCTCTGCAATCACGCGTTTACCGTGGCTCAGAAATGCTGCATAACACCCCTTGCGGCCCACAGAGACGGACAAACCCGTGTAGACAGAGCGACGGGAAAAACGGGTCAGAGGGAGGGAGAGAAAGACAGTGAAAAAACAGTTTATTTGGCCTTTCGGGCTGTTGAACTCTGCTAATTGTAGAACTCATTAAAAATCAGGTTGGAGGGAAATGCTATAGGCTTGATGCACAAGGCCTATCGTGCAGAACGCATAATCCCACCATCACACACACTTACACACACAAACACTCGCCTCTAATTCTGAGAGAGCTCGAGCTGAGTAGAGCAAGACATTCGCCAGCAAAACTTTTACCACGTGTTCGTTAATTAGCTTAGCGCTGCCCCGTGTATGTGTTACCGTATCAATGAAAGTAAATTTTTTAAAAAAGGGAGAAAGGGGAAAAAAAAAACATACCGTCTCTTTCTTTTGCTCTTTTTCTCTGGTTGTTGGGGTATTTCTTTAGGGACATCACGTGGCATTTTCCTATAGGGCTGCACGAGTAATCAAAATAAAACTGAAATGCAATTTTCAAATTGCAAAGGGTATGATTTTATTACATAAATACATGCAGTGTGTGTTTCAGAGTGAAGCACAGCACTGGGGTTTTATGCTTGAGCAACTGTTTTGTACATGAACAACTTGTATAACGTGCATATAGACCTTAATCAGGTTAGACGTCATATTTAATTTAAAGCGGGTCCTATTATGCTCTTTTACAAAGTCTTGATTTTGTTTTGGGGCAGATAAAAACGAGAAGGATAGACGATATGCACTGTATAAAAGTCATATATCATGCACTTTTTATTTTTTTCAACTGAAAGTTTTTGTCTGAAAATAACTTAATGGTTTATCAGTTGAAAATTAGGAAATTAAATGGTATATAAATTAATTCATGTTGTAATTTTACGGTCGTACTGTACAATAAAATAATTACATTGTTTTTCTTAAATACATTATTTTTTATTTTACAGTGAAATATTACAATAGTAATATTTCTTAGTTTAATATTATGGTAACACTTTAGATTAGGGAACACATTTTCACTATTAACTAAGAGTTTCCCTAAACAAACTCTAATTTGTTAATTTGCTAATTTGTTGCTTATTAATAGTTATTAAGGTACAGTAGTTGTAAAGTTTAGGTATAGGGTAGGTTTATAAGTACTAATAAACACCCAGTATGCTAGTAATATGCATGCTAATAAGCAACTAGATAATAGTGAGAATTGGTCCTTAAAATAAAGTGTTATGAATATTTTTAATAATAGTAATATTAATAATCATGCAATTATTATTGTTATTATTATTATTTTATAGTCATAATGATATATAAACACAAAATTTTAGACAAATTGTGCAGCTGTACAAACAAGCACAGCAAACCAGTGGCCGGCTGCGTAAACTGCTTAGACTAGTCTAGAAAGTTAGACTGGTCATAATTTTTTTAAGTCAGTTACATAAAAATGTAGATTGATCTAATTTGAATTAGTTAGACTGATAATCACTTGGTTAGCTGCTAGTTACTCAAACTAGTTCTCAAGACAGTCTTAATGTGGTGTTGTTTATGCAACCGACCCCAAGAGTTTTTTTTTTTTCTTGCATTTTAAATAGCATAATATTTTTTATATTTATCAGAAAAATTGCAATTAGACCCCCCCCCCATATCGTGCAGCCCTGTATTGTCAAGGGCTCTGTGGGATTCAGATCTGTGGATGCGGAAGAGGAACTCTGGAGGAGATTTTGCCGTCAAGGCCAAATCTGCCATGCAACACACACACATAAAGCTCAGCTCTCTGCCAGACACTCTCAGCCATCTGCCTGATTTCTCAAACACACACACCCCAACGTGACAGCAGCAAACTTTTTTGTTAAGGAAATACTGTTTGAACGTCTAAATGGGTCTAAACAAATGCTTTTCTGACTCTTTACTTACATGCAAAGTTTCCTTTCCCTCTGGAATACTGAGCTAACACTCAACGCTTCACTAACCTCCTCTGTCTCTTTCCTCTTCTCTCTTTTTTTTTGGGCGTCCCTGTTTGTTTGCTTGCTCGCAGACGTGGTGGATGGGATGAGTGTGGAGGGTGAGGATGAGGAGAGCAGGAGTGATATTGAGGCGGCGGCATCGTCTCATGCTGATGATGTCACTCATACTAACCCTGAGGAGGAACTGTCGTCTTCATGTCTAATGGAGGATGATTTTACTAACACTGCCAGTGACCTGGCCGCTCTGGGTAACCCAACACTGCATGTCCTCTGCGCGTGTGTGTGAACGTGTGTGCGTGCAACACTACATACCTGAGTTTGTGCGTTAGTGTGCAGTGGTTTATCTGTGTATAACTACTTCTGTCTGTTTTTGATTGTTTTTCTTTTGTTAACCTTTATCATGCCATTACGACCCTTAATTTAGTAGGGCTGCATGATTAATCAAAATCAAACCAAAATTGGTTTCATGTGATTATCAAATACACGCACTGTGTGTTTCATAGTGCAATGCTGCACTGTGCTCTTCTACACATGAGCTGCTCAGGATGCAGTGATGTCTGTGATTTTGAGTGGCTCAGTTCACAGTAAATGCCGCTCCATTCCAACTCATCTCTGCATTGGTTTGCTTATAACGTTTTGAGAATATATGGACCAAAAATCTTCCTAAGCTTTTAATGGGAAGTGCATATAAACCAAAGTGCTTATGAAGTGCTCAGCAATATTGGTTTTGCAATTTTACAGTTGAACTATAATTTTACAGTGAAATAATGGAATTGCAATGAAATTACAGTAGTAATATTTCTTTAGTTTGATTTTAATAAGAATTCAAATTATTATTGTTGTTGTTGTTTTCGTATTAATATATAATCACAAAAGTTTGGCCAAATTGTGCATCCCTATAAACAAGCACACCAGGCATGTTTTTTAATCTGAAAAAATCGCAATTACATTTTTTTCAACAAAATTGTGCAGCCCTATAATTTTGTATTTCTTTCTTGTCACATTAGTTCCTATTTTAAACACCTTTTAGAATTAATTTATCTTTTAATTCAATAAATCATTAAGAAAAAAAAGGAGGTTTCTTAAGTGAGGTTTGTGCCTGTTAATAACATTTCTGTCTGTGAGATTTTGATATTAATTTTATTTATGTATTTTTTGACGTTTTTAATGTGTTGTGCCTTAGTTTAAAAAGTATTTGAACATATTCTCAAGACAAACACAATTATATCTGCCAAAGAGATGTGAAGTTGTTAATAATTAGTTTTTTTGTCTTTCTAAGGAAGTCTTATGAGATATCTGGAGGAAACCTGAATTATTCTTTCTCTTTTGTTTACTTTTGTGTAGTATCTGCGTTGTTTGTTTCTTTGTTTGGTTTGTGTTTTTGTCTGTTATTGTGAAAAGAAGGTCTATGTATTACACACAGAATCCTTTTCTCCAACATAATGAAATGAGTTTTTTTTAGCACATTTCAGCTCTCAAAGAGTCATACTTTTCTCCATGGCACAGTTGGACCTTTTTTAGTGATTAACAGTTTTATTGATTCTCGGGCAAATTTCAGAATAGATGGTAACTCAGGTCACAGATTTGCTATAATTAAATACAATTAAAACATCCTTCAGTATATAATGATGAGAAAAATAAATAAATAAAATACAATGAAAAAAAATGAATAAATAAAATTCATTCTTATAGCACATCACATTTACATTGTCACAATCAGCATATTTCTCACATATTTCCAAATAGGTTAAGTACTTGGACCATTTTTTATAGTATAGGTTTAGCTTGTCCGTCTGCTTATAAGACATTTTTTCGAATGCAGCCACTCTAATTAGTTCTACTACCCATTCCTGAAAGGAAGGGACATCCTCCTGAGAATTATTTGTCTGTCAATCAGTAAACTGGTTTGGACCCAGGATTTTATGTGTACAGTTGGACTTTTTAAGTTTTGTTATTGTTTCTAACAACAAAAATGGACTGCCGGGGAAAAAACCTAACCGATCCAAACACAAAAGACCATATAGATACCCGTCACGGTGCACACTTTAATTAGTTTGAGGATGTGGTTCTTGTGTTTGGGAAAACTGTTGGTCAATGCAGACACACCTGCACCTTTATCCAGGCTGTGCTGAGGCCTGATAAATGACTCCTGTGGTGTTTTTTTAGGGAGGGAGAGGGATGCTGGGAGACGAGAACAGGACCCACATGAAAAGCTTCCTCACCTCACTTTCATCTCTAGCCCAGATGAGAGAAAGAGAGAGAGGGCAAGGCTAAACCTGCTAGTTAAAGGTTATTAGAAAAGACAGACTTGGAATATACAAAGGCTGACATAAAAAAGACACCAACACATTTGAAAGACAGTTTTGCATATAACAAGTAAATTAGAAGTCATTGTTCATTAAAAGAGAAAGAGATGTTATGACTTTCAAGGAATCACAAGCACTGTTCCCTCTAAGTATGTTTGGCTGCTCATCTGACACTGTTCCCTCACTGATGGAAAAAAGAACTGTAAGAAGTCAGACCTAGAAACAGATGGGGAAGAGCTAGAGCTTCTTGAATAAGAGCTAAATTAATGGATGGAGTTTAAAGTGGAGTCTATCCACGTGTCCATTGATTTTTTTTCCTCAGCATGCAGCTGAAGCTGTGAGAAATCTTGTATGGAAATATACAGCACTGATTAATTCCCAAGAGGATTAATTCACAAACAGTGCAGTACAAATTTCATTGTGGCACATACACAGGCTCACAAAGGCCATGCAATATTTTTTTTATTATGAATGTGTCAAATTATTCGTCATTTATTGTTATATTAATATGTATGGTTTATAAACAATACATTTAGTAATCTGAAAAATATTTACAAAAATAATGAAATATTCATAAAATAATACAAACATTTATTTTGAATAAATGTATATATGATAAACACTACCTTTCAGAAGTTTGGGGTCAGTAAGATTTTTTTTAAAGATTAGAACTTTTTCTACAGCAAGGACATTGATGAAATGTGACAGTAAAGACGTTTAAAACATAACAATCTGTAACATTTATTTTTATCAAATAAATACAGGCTTGGTTAAGGATAGCATACTTTTGAACAGTAGTGTATATTATATGTTATATACTTCTGTGGATGCAGCCTAAAGAAGTGGTATTTGCTCAGCAAACAAAAATTTAAGGGAGCATTGGGAACTACAATCTCAGTAGAGGTCTTTTAATTCACATGAGGTGTATGTGAGTGTCAAGGGAGACAATCAGGTGTGTCAAGCTCTCAGCATCTTGCTATCTCTCCTGTGTGTGTGTGTGTGTGTGTGTGTGTCCAGCCAGCTGCTTGACTTACGATGTTTCTCTTTGCACATGTACAGTATTTATGTAAAGCATTTGTATAGTTTGTATTTTTTTGTTTATGTATAGGTAACCATTTATATATATAGTATATTTATAGTCAAAATCTGTCAGTATGTTAGTTGTGTATAGGTTTATACTGTTTTACTTCATTGTTGTATGTCTGTATTTATGTAGCACCGTGGTCCTTATATAGTGTCATTTCTAATCACCCAGACACTGATGCTTTT